TTTTGCTTACACCCTCACACAAATTCTCAAACATAACATAACACCAAAAAAACTCCTAGGAAAGCGTGAAAGCTATCGACATGTACATGCGAAAGAAAATATTTGTACAAAAAAAGCTTCAAGCAGAGCAGTCATCACATTGGAAGGACACAATACGTTTTCCATAAACCCCGGCGCAAATATCGTGAAGCCACTTTTGGCATTTCTCCATCCCTCGTCCTCATCGTCGTCGAAAAAATTGCCGTTGCAGACAGCGCAGAGGTTGCTCAAACAATTTCTTTCTTGCCTCTCATTCTTACGTTTATTTTCTTTTTTCCTCCTAGGAGCTGCAACTTTCTTAGACGAGCTAGATGAAATTATTTCTACAAGCGCTGTAGCCTTCTTCGACGCGCTAGATGGCATTGTTTCTGCGAGAGCTGACAGTTCGGCTACATATGTCTCACTAGTTAATACTCTAATTCCTGTCTGAATGGCTTTCTTCCTCTGCTTCTTGGCTCTCTGAGTGGCCACTGGAAGAGGCAAAATATCTTCAAATGATTCATCTGATAAACTGGTGCTATCAGGTTCCCTGCTATTTTCCTGCCTCAAAGAATCACGGACTTTCTCGGAAGCTAACTGAACTACCGATGAAGTTCTACCTAAATTCGGTAGAGAGCAGCATGGTTCACCTGTGACACTTTCTACCTCTGTCGTGGTGTTAACCTCATGAGATGGTACGTCGTAGTCTCTATTTGTTATATTATCTGACTCACCAGATCTCACTATTGCTGTTGTCTGAGAAGGCGCGAATGCATGCTCTGGAATCTGCTCAATATCAAGTGGATACAGGCCGGTAGCACGGAAAGATGTTACTGCGTTGCCGACTGTGGCAATTTTGTAATAAGCCTTGCTGAAGAGTGCAGGGAAATCAATTCTGGATATCCCTGCTCCGGGGTTGTTTCGGTGATGAACTCGAATTGCTTCTTTGAAATGATCCTTTAGTGGTTTAAAATGTACTTTGTCCAGAGGTTGTAAATAGTGACTCGTATGAGGCGGCATACTGACTATCTCAACATTGTGGCTTCTAGCATATTCCAAGACTTCAAGGCTGTGAGTGTGGGAGTGATGCCCATCCACTACAAGAAGTGTTTTACCGCAGTCACTTCTCTTGCTTGTGCAAAAATGTTCCATCCACGCAAGGAATAAATCTTTATTTATGTATCCGGATTCACTGTACTCCACTATTAAACCAGCAGGTAAGCCACGATCCAGTGCTGGGTTCACTCTCTTTCCTTTATATATAACCATTGGAGGGATATAATCTCCAATAGCATTCACACCCACAACGATAGTTTGAGACAGCCCACGCTCTCCGGCGGTTATTTGGCTTGATGACTTTGATCCCTTTTCTCCAACAATATTTTTGACACCAGGAACGAGGCTAAGGCCAGTTTCATCAACGTTATAAATTTTGCTGGGCTGATCGAAAAGACAGAGGTCATTCATGACACTTTCTAACATGTCAAAATACCTTTGAACGATCGGTTTGTTCAGGTGGATTGCTCTCTGAATAGAAAGTGGCTGAGGTTTTCTTATTGTTATAATATCATTGTGCCGAGTTCTGAAGCCGGTCCACCAATCTTTACCGGCCATTTCCAGAGACTTTGAAAAGTTGTTTTTGATTCCATTGCGTATAGCAAACTCGTAAGCCAATTGCCTTATGTCCTTTACTGTTAGTGGAAATCCTCTCCTCTCGAAATCTAGAATATGCTTAACAAGATTTTCTTCTGTATTTCTTGGAAGTGTAGAACTAGGACCAAGATGTTTTGATGCCACCATCTTCTTGACCGAGCTGAACACATGCCTCCGTAGAGTTGTTCTGGGAACGCTATGAGTACGTGCTGCACTCTTCAATCCCTCCCCTTTTTGGACAGCTTCCACTGCCATTCTCATGTCAGATTCTGACCAGGAGCCTCTGTTTGATATTCTTTGGTATTTCCTTGGCATTCTTGTAGATTTCCTTCTCCCCATGCATCCAAAACTTGCATCTGGAAAAAACATGACAGTACATTGGGGTAAGATGGCAACCTCCCATAATTTGATAAGATTATTGAAATTCTCCCAAAACTGTTTTGACAAGTAAAAGCAATTACAAAATAAAAGAGAAGACTTTCAGGTATATTATCACAAAGAAGGGGCTTGAGCGATCAGATTGAATAACAAAACCAAAAAACGCAAAAAAATTATTACCCCATAATAACCCCTCTTTTCTACATGATACCTTGCTGAGGGCTGTAGTTAGTTGCTAGCTGGCACCAGTCGCACAGTTAGTCCTAAATCATAGTGCATAAGTACAAACTTACCAACAAAGGCGCGATTCCGAGTTCCTTGACTGAAAATGAGTATATAGTGCCTCCAAGAAAAACGTGTTCTTACTAAATGCCCTTTTTTCACCCTTCCAAAATCACAAGCCACGTGGAAAGATACACAACTGACGAACTACGCCAAGCGCTAAACCGAAATGGCTAGAACGAATTCCCTCCTTAGCAACGAACTCACCAATGGCATTTGTAGAATCAAGCCCCATAAGATGTCGCCAATAGGTCAATTTGAAAAAAAGTGTCCATCTAACCCCGTGTGTCTATCTTCCCCCGCCCTACTATACATGTCATATTTTTTGCGTCTTATGCAAGTTCAGTAACAAGTTGTATCTCAGTTGTTATCACTGAAACTGTCTTCTTTTTTGGCATAATACTTTCACCACAATTGTGACTGCAAGTTACCTAAAGAGATTTTTGGCATTGGCTTGCTCGACAATAGGTTAGTATTAATTGTAAAATCGCTTATGTATGACATTGCAGGTAAAGTATCGTTTGAGCAGTCCAGAGGATTATTTAAAATGAGCAAATGCATGTGACACCACAATGCCATTTTCCGCGCATACGCATAAAGATGCTGAATGTAACATTCCATAGAATTCTTTTTAGGCAACGAGAATCTCCATCATTGCCCTTACCTCCACATTCTCCGATACCCTTTGGGATTGTACCAGCCATGATTCAAATGTAATAAACGAGAAAAAATCAATCGGTTTGCAATGTATGCCCTAGCTGTCACTGTAAATTTGCATGTTTGAACATCGTACCGCAAGATCATTCACTCCTCAACCCATAACGGCAAAAGGACACATGTTGTTTGTGGTGCACCTTGCGACTTAGTGACTGTTATGTCTAACGACCCTCGATTCCAATGCAACCAATTTTTTCATTGTAAGCATTTTATTGCCAAAACGAAACGGACAAGTAAGCGAGTAGACCTCGTCAAACAATTTAACTTGTCAACGGAATTCGCATACAAAGAGATGGAAAAAATATTGACACAGGTCCGATGTTTGGACATTATTTTACAGAAATACTATAAAATGAAATTACAAATTTATTAATAAAAATAAGTAAGCGAGTAGAACTCGTCACACATAAGTTAATTCGTCAACGAAATTCGCATATAAAGATATGAAAAAAAATTACTGACACGGCCACGGGTCCGATGTTTGGACATGATTTTACAAAAATATTATAAAACTAAATTAAGAAATGTTACATAATCGATATAATTTAAGTATTCCACCGGAACATGATATAATAGAGAAGTGGTTTTCAAACGATGGGGGTTGGGAATTGGCGGTCTTTGACAATTTTTGAGGGGGGTATAAAGCTTAATTGAATAAATATGCGAGATTTGAATTTGCCCGCCTTATTTTGAATATATATGTTCCATCCACACATGCTGTGAATAAAACATACATACGCCTTACTATCTGTTATTCATAGCTTATTTTAGCTACAATTATTTTTAAGGTGGGTTGCAAAACTTGAAAATTCTAAAAAGGGGGCTCATCTTAAAAATTTTGAGAACCACCATCATGGAGTGTAAAACGCTTTTTTGTTTTCAGTCATGATACTTGTTTTTCACAACTATCGAAGAGGTTTTTATTCACGGAAAGCTAAGTTCCACAAAAATTATGATGAATGTATATTTATGAAATCAAATACATAAACCTCCCCCTCGAATAATCCATTCTGTAATTCTACTGGCAAATCCAAAATTATGTTAGCATTTTAATTAAGTTAATGCTGTCAGTATTTTAATTAGAATAAATGTATTTGCTCAATATTGTATTTTGAGCAAAGAAATCTGTTTTTGATGCAATCTAATGCTGTCAGCTGTTTTTCTGATAAATTTGCTGCCACTGATGTCTAATTTAAATTTGCAAGCCTTTTCCCAAAGTCCTTTCTGAATTTCTTTCTCTCATTGAATAGCTTTGCATGAATTATTCTCAATTTACTTTTCCTGTCTTTAACGCCTGACAGTATATTCTCCTTTTGGAGAAATTCTTCAATGTCTTTGTAACCTGCATAGCAATTTAGAACGCATTAGTCTGAGAATAATGTAAACTGCTCAAGTCCTCGTCATCCAACAAACTTTCTATTTTCTGACTGATATCAACAGACAAAAAGTAAACTTTACCTGGTAAGCTACCGGTATTATTTTCACCAGAAGTGTCTTCAATACAAGACTTGAAATGAGTTAACGAAGCTGCAGTGTCACTGCTCGACCATCTAACATATCGTCGTTTTCTGCGCTTAGTTGAAGTACTTGGCATATCTGAAACCAAATAAATGACACACTCATTAAGTGATTTTCTACATGTCTAAGTTTTTAAATTTTGCCCCAACACCAAACTATTTACACTATTTAGCTTTTATACGTAGTTTCATATATTAGTGCACTTTTCAAGACTTGGATAGAAATACTTACCATGACACATCTCAAATTCAGTATTCAATCCCAATCCTGATGGCATACTGTCATCTTCAACACCCGGCGTTTGTGATACCGCAGATGATTCTCCTTCTACACTCTTTCCTTCTTCTAAATCTCCTGTTATGTCTGGCTCTTCCGTCCCTGAATTAAAAAGGTTCATCAATACCAACCCATGATTATAATAACATACCAAATTTCTCACCTTTGACTTGCATGCCATCCAATGATGCAAAGTAACTCCCAACTTTCGTAACCTCTTGTATACCGAGTGGACACTGGTATACATTCTTATTGATATCTTCTGTGTGTCCCATGTGCTTAAAAAACGCTAGGCGTTGATCTTCCGGTATTTCCAAGCTGGCATATAAAGTTGAAGCTCGATGGCGCATTGCTGTGGCTGTGATATGTGAATTTACTCCAGCAGCATCAACTACATTTTTCACACTATGCCATCCGCTACAATGATCTAGGGATTGTTTTGGGAAAAGGAACATGTTTCGAATATTGATGTCAGAATCCTTTCGAATTTCGGAGTTTGCAAGCATATCTAATGCTGAATCACAATCGGGTGGCACCAAAACAGGTACCATACGGTTGGTGCCTTTTCCTCCTTGGTACATTATTTTAAATGTACTAAGAAGTTTTTTCTCAGCGTCATTAACATATTTGGCTCTTTGAGAGTCAATCCATTTCTCCGTTTTGGCATCACACCAATCGCTCATTTGGAGTCTACATGGCTCACCCCCTCGTCGAGCATTAAAAAGAGTGAGTCTACAGACTGTGAGGTCCCGAATAAATACAAATGTTTCTGGACAAAAAAAATCATACTGATTATTCACAATCTGTTGCAATTTATCTACAGTGTAGTTTCGTATTTTTTTCACAGCGTCTTCGTCTGGTAATTTACCAGGATCTCTTTGCTTATGGTTGCGGTTTTGCAGCAGTAAATACTCAGCATCGCCAAATATGCTGATCCATTTTAGTTCAAGTACGCCAACAAACTTGTCGATTAAATCTGCGCTAGAATCAACATCACAAATTAAATAACTTCCCTTGACGACCTTCGCAGACAATTTGAGCAAATTTCCTACACTCACTTCAAGACCAGCCTTAAGTGTTCCATCTTCATGGGTTGTCATTGATTGTATAGCCTCTTCTAAAGCAGGGAAATTCTGCCTGCGAAACATCTCTTCAATTGACAGAGTTTTATCATTTGTAAAAGATATAAAATGGAAGTATAGATTAGCAAGTGTACGCATTTTACACATAACTGCCTTTCGAGATTCAGCCAGTTTGTCTTTTTTTCGCTTATGTTTATTGAACTGGCTTCTTCCAATCAGTTTAATTACATCATTTTCCTGACAGAATTTACCAATCCTATCCGCTGAACCTCGATAGCAAATCAGTGAATTCCAACCCATCTGTATCATTATTAATCAATGTTGCAGCTAACCCCTTTGTTCCCTGTATACCATTTTTTTTCCCAAAATTTTTTGAATGACTAAAAAAATATCTTCTGCGCACAAAAGCTTTACACTGAGTACATATTTTGACTCCATCTTCCATCTGGCCTCTTTCACACAATAAGGTTTTTTTTCCCTTCAACATCTTCATATTATGCCCAAACATACCATCCTTTCGCATTTTCTCAAATTCAAAGGCTTGTAAATGTTTTGGCAAAGACATTGCCAATTTTACCCTTTCCTCATGTTTATGACGCATTCTCAAATGACGTGTTAACTGGCTTCGTAGTTTCCCACAATATAAGCAAGGACGCTTCGGCTTTTTTTTTTTTTTTTTCAATTCTTCATTTCTTTGCTTACGGGATTTCCCTTTCCTTGATCTATCGGAAATGACCATTAGTAGATCATATGGCGAATTTGAAGATGTGGAAGACAGAGGCACAAATTCACTATCATAGTCACTGATAACAGCATCTTCAGTTTCTGAATCTTAACATGGAAACAAAAATTAAATTTATTCCAGAAAGGAATGAATTATTGAGGATTGATAAAATACATACCTGTATCGTGTGAGTAGTGTCTGATCTGAACTGCATGTCGAACAGGAGTTTCTTGACTATCTGAAGAGTGAAATATAAAAATTAACCTGTATGATTCAGTCAATTATAGATATAAATAGGATCAGTTTGTTAAATAATTTTGGCCGCATTCTTGCTGGCAATTATGAATGAAACTTTTGAGTTGGGGTTGCACAAGACTAACTCCCTATCTTCTCTCTATACATTTATAAATGAAACTGATAATTGAAGGTTTGGCTTCAGCTATATTTCATCACACTATTAAGCAACTTTTGTATCGCAAAATAAAAAAAAAAATATCAAATTCAACGAATTAAATCACTTTTGCAATAACTACACTCAAGATGTATATCAGGGGTGGCCAACCAGCCAGAAACGAAGAGCCGCATTTTCGTATTTTGATAACGCGAAGAGCCGCATTATAAACCAGAACATACATGAACATCAGATATACCTATATTCAGCTGTGCGACAAGGCTGGTTTATTTTATTAAATATCACTAACCAACATGATTATGACATAAATTTGAAAGCCATTTATTTTTATGCATGCTACTTAGTGGGAATTATGATATGTATGGTGGCCCATCGTTGCCACCCGTAAAATTTAAAAAAAAATGAAAAAATAAAATGAAAAAGCGAAAATAAAAAAATAGTTGTGAAAAAACATAAAAATAATTGAAAAAAAAGAAGTGAAAAAAAAAATTAAAAATAAAAACAAAATTAAAAATAAAAACAAAAAAAAACGAAAAAAAAAAAATTGGATAAAAAGAAAATAAAAAGGTTGACAACGATGGTCCGCCTCGTGGCCCATCGTTGTCACGCGTTTTTATTTTTAGAAGATTTGATGCTGCTTGGGACCAACGTTGTCAGGCTTAATCCTACACGCACAAATGTGTTTCCTGGGTTTCTAACTCACTGACTTTTATTAGCAATATCCAATAAATTCAACATGAAAATGTTCTATAAATTCTCCATGCTACGAGTTCAACCACAAGCAATATATTTATAATATTGATAAGAGAATATAGAATTAAATATGAAAATTTGTTTTTACGTGTAGAAGGTAATTTAATTGGAAAATTCTGCTTAACTGCTCAGTTGTCTGGACACTCGTGCGATGCCGGTACGGTACCGTCTGACCGTACCGGTACCCATGCAATCACTCATGAAAGAATGGGAGATACGGATAGTCTCGTAGAATATAGACTACTGAGACACTCTCTGCGCCTGCCCCATACCGTACAGCCGTAACGTACCGATCCAGACAAATGATGAATCGCCCGTGCTCAACCATTTATTTCAATCCATACCTCGACTCACTATATTCTACTAGGATCGAGGTATGGATTGAAATAAATGATTGAGCACGGGCGATTTATCATTTGTCTGGATCGGTACGTTACGGCTGTACGAGTTGGAAACCAAGGAAACACATTTGTGCGCGTAGGATTATGCCTGACAACCTTGGTCCCAAGCAGAAGCAAATTTTCTAAAAATAAAAACGCGTGACAACGATGCGCCACGAGGCGGACCATCGTTGTCAACCTTTTTATTTTCTTTTTATTCAAATTTTTTTTCGTTAATTTTTCGTTAATTTTTTTTTCTCAATTTAAATTTTTTTTTTCATTTTTTTTTTCAATTATTTTTATGTTTTTTCACAACTATTTTATTATTCTCGGTTTTTTATTTTATTTTTATTTTCAATTTTACGCGTGACAACGATGGGCCACCATATTATGTCGTTGTAGTCAATCGAAGCAGTTCTTTTACATGGGTTTTCATCATAACAAATTAATGCTTTGATTTCACGTCTTCTATGGTAGAAAACACAGATTCGCAGACGTATGTTGATCCAAACATTGACAATACCATATGTGCGGCTCGTTTAACATTGGCGTATTTTTCCATGGGCATGCTTCTCACTAACTCAATGGCCTCTTCCCATAATTCAAAGCGCATTGCAGTTGGTCTTCCTCATCAAAATGTAGATTATCTTCAACTCGGTTGCAGCCTCATCTGAGGCTAGAAGGAATTTTAAACTAACTGTCTCAGAATTAAATGAGTCGTCGACGACATAAACTAATTTACCCAAACGCAAACAAATTTCTCGCAGAACTACGGTTACGTGAGTGCGTCTCACAACAAAGAATTTAATTATGACCTAACAAAGAACAATTGCATTGTAAAGTGGATGAAAGCGTATCTTCAACGTTAAAAAAGAATGCACAATGACTCATAATGTGTTTAATCAAAAATCGTAGTTTGCAACTTATTTTTTCCATAAAATAACCAAGGCGAAAAGAGCCGCACGAGACTGGTTCGAGAGCCGTGGGTTGGACACTGCTGATGTATATAAAGCGATATTGTTATTCGAATGGTGGAAATATTAACACTATATTATGTTATAAAAATTATAACCACCTTCAACTTCAAGTAGAGAGTCATCCATTTTCTGTCACGGGCAATACTGTAATAGTTGGAAATGTCCACACAAACAAATAAAACTAGTACTGATCTTACTCTGGAGATTGCGAAGCACAATGGAACAGTTATATTTATATATATCTGTATATAGTCAATATGAATTATTTTATTAACACGCTAAAAAAGAAATAGGCTACCGGTACCGGTACTTAGCTATAAATGATATTGTGATAAAACAGTCAGGCAGTGGAAAGAGAGCAAAATTAAGTAGACATACGTTATCACTTTCAATTACATTCAACCTGTGGCATAGTACTGTAGTAAGAATTATCATCTTTTAATCTTTTCGCCACATTCTGACATTGGAGTTGATCTGAAATTATATTATAGCCAACCACAGTCCACAGTAATGGAATGTGACCAGTCTGCCAGTTGGGATACAGGGATAGTGCTATTTCAAACAAGATAATTGTTTTAGGCTACCGTACCTACAGACCTACTAATGATGTAATGAATAATGCTACTACAGTACGGTACCGGTACTATGTCAGTACCGTAGCTATATCAATGTTCAATATACAGATATAATACCGGTACCGGTAGTGAATTTGTCACAGGAATTCTAAATACTGCTGTTGCTCCGTATTTCAAAGTATTTCTATAGTTTACCCCATCAGGCATCAGGTACCGATAGTGACATAGCTACCACAGTCAGCAATATTACAGTATTATGGATTGTAAATAAATTCGACAAAATTCTTTAATCTAACCTCTGCTAAAACAAGATATGTTTAACGCTTATAATGCAACCGGTGTTACGGTACCGGTACCGCTATATATGTTGATTGCATAAATATCTGGATATAGTCTGGTAAGTAAATTGAATGTTGCCCCAAACTAGCTGTTAGTTTACCACAGTACCAGGGTGGTACAGCCAGTCTGCGGACGATTTCATTCAAACCACTATAAAATCCGTTGATTTTTTCACCGTAGGTGCATTGGCATTTATTCTACACGCTAAACATCAAATTAACTTTCTACGATCAGGGGTTAGCTATACAAACGGGAGGCGGACAACTCGACTACACGGACAACTCGACTACCTAGAGGCCTGGTGAGTTGTTCGTCTTTTGGCATTTTCTTCAGTGGTGTTTTAGGTCTATAGAAATGCGTTTTTGATATTTTTAGTGCTCAAGTGTTGAGAAAAACACATAAATATGCTCTAGAAAGCATTTTTATTTGTATAAGTGGCTTATTTTGATCATGTTGTATGAATACAGTCTACAGACGAAATTGGAGTAACGTTAGCGAAGTTTGACTGTTGACTTACCGTATAGAACTGTGTTCGTTTAATTTTTTGAACTTTATTGGTATTAAATGTTTTGAATGAGCACCTTTAAATATATTAAAACCTTTATACTTCACAGTAACACTTAAATATTTATGAATGTGAGCTCAGTAGTCTATGGTTGCAGTACCGGTAGTCTGCAGTCGCCCGACAGGCCGTCAACTCACCAGTCGAGCAAACGCTCTGCGACGTGACGTCATCGATGCTCGAGGTGAAGACAACTTGACTACCGAGCAACGAGAGGCAGACAACTCACCAGTCGAGCAATCGCTCTGCGATATCGATGCTCGAGGAGAAGACCTTGCTTTGCAAAACAAGAGATGCTAACTCAAGAGTTGCATAGCATTTACTTAGTGCCGACTGATATTAGTTGTAAGCCAACTCACCACGGCAAGGTTTCAGTCATAGAGTTGGAATTTCTTTTTGCAGAAGAAAACCAGGAACAGATAGGCACTGTCGCTGCGCCTGGCAAAGAAACTGGGCCGAAGAATGGATAGAAGATGTTTACTTTTTGTTACGATTAATGAATTTAATATGATATTTGAATACTAAACGTTATGGGGGAATTTAATGGATGGAAGGTTTTGTTTTCCTTTTCGTTACGAATAATGAATTTTATTTGAATACTAAACGTTATGGGAAATTTGCTGCGTTACATACTTACTCTTTGCAATACTGCGGCCCGTAGATCCTTGAACACCTTCGAAGAAGAGAGTCCACAGATAACTCTCTTTCCTTGTTCTGTTCCCAGACACGTTGCACCCTCTCGTTGGCTTCCGCATACCTGCCGTTGACACGCCCCACAACGTCCGCCTCTATCCCTATACTTACTTCGTACATTGTTGAGATTAAACTGTAAAAAGGCATATTTTTCCGAGTTATACTGTTAAAATGGCGATGCCAACCTTCCACATGATTGTTGGTTCTTATTTCTACGTCGAATACTGACCAATCATTGGGAGTCCAGACACTGTTGTATAGCCATGTGTTTTGAAAATATTCGGCGAAGATCTTGAGTTAGCATCTTTTCGTTCAGTGATTTCAATTTGGACGTAATAAACATAGCTGGTATATAGCACAGCGCCATGGCATGCTTGATCAGGTCTCTTGTTCCAGCGTCCCTAAAACAAAAACATGTTAATACTGAGACGACCACGTCTATAGCTCTATTTTATTCTGTTTGCCCATATTAATTCTTACCACTTGAGTCACTAGTGAGCAGCTGTGTAACTTTCTCTTTCTGCTGGTTTGTCAGACTGCCGGCAGTGTAGATATTTCCTCTGTGTATTAGGTTATTATTATAGTGTTTTAATGCCGTAAAATCTGTGTAATTCTTGTTGTAAAATGATATTAGTAGTACAGCTTTACTATTTCTCCAGTTTGGCATAGCTCTGTTCACTAGTTAGCTTGTATTTAACACTTCCGTAACTAGTCTATCTTCGCAGTTTATTTCCTGTGTGATTTCCATATTTCTATGCGTATTTCCATGTATATTACCTGTTTGTCGATAAGATAGGATTTGTGTTCAATGTGCGCATGACAATAGTTGGCATGCGAAGGTACTTGTAAACAATCAACCGTTCAATTTTCTTGTAGATAGTGGTGCTATGACTACTCTTATTGACATTTCCATCTTTGAGGCTATAGGTGGGAAGGAAGCACAATTGGCACCGCTCGGAGAATCTCTTGTTGCAGTGGGAGGGCATGATTTATCACCACTGGGTACATTGGAGGTTGATTTATTGATTGATTCGTTTGTATCACGACGCACTGTGATTGTTGCCAACTTAGGCATGACTAGTGGTATTTTAGGCATGGATTATCTCCGAGAACATGACTGTGTTCTTTACTTATCATCGAGACACATGATGATAGGGGGTCATGAAATCAAACTGTTTACTGAAAAGTCTGTACCGTGTTGTCGTGTAACCGTTCGGGAAGATGTTACGATACCGCCATATTCTAAGGTTGTTATCCCTGCACAACTTAGTCATCCATGGCCGAAAAACATCTTGTCTGATGTTGCTGCTCTTGTTGAACCGCTGAATTCTTCTTTCCTCGCTGATGGCGTTCAGCTGATCCCTTCTGTTGTGGATCCAGGAAAGTCCACTGTTCCTGTTCTAGCAGTCAACCAGAAAGGCAGACAATTTAAGATCAGGGCTGGATCTTTGATTGGTATTGCACATCCTCAACTTGTAGCACAGATTCAGGTTGACGAATCCGAAAGGGTTATAGCTTCTGAATTACCAGAGCATCTACATGACATGGTCAATTCCGTTGAGGATCTAACCCCGAGTCAACGTGAACAGTTGGTCAATTTGATTTGTGAATTCCATGATGTATTTGTAGGACCAGATGGTGAACTTGGCCGTACTTCAGCAGCGAAGCATAGGATCATCACAACCACACCACAGCCGATTCGGCAGGCTCCTCGTCGAATGGGGTGGGCGCGTAGGAAGATAGCCGAAGAAGCTGTTGATAATATGCTGGCTCAGGGTGTCATAGAACCCAGCGATTCCCCATATTCTTCTCCCATTGTCCTAGTTCCCAAAAAGGATGGTTCTACCAGATTTTGCGTGGATTTTAGATTGCTTAATGACGTCACATACAAGGACGCATATCCCTTGCCGCGTATTGAGGATATCATTGAGTCCTTAAACGGAGCCCAATGGTTCTCAACTCTTGATCTCGCAAGCGGATATTGGCAAGTGGAGGTTGATCCTGCAGACCGTGAAAAGACAGCATTCAGCATTCCTGGACGTGGACATTTTCACTTTGTAGTGATACCATTCGGTTTAGCGAATGCTCCCGCGACATTCGAACGGATGATGGACAATATCCTTGGTGATCTCCTGTGGAACGGGTGTTTCAATTTTCTTGATGATGTTTTGGCTCATGGTAGTGATTTCTCAATGGCACTCTCAAATCTTCGGGAAGTTTTTATAAGACTTCGCCGTGCCGGTTTACGCTTGAAGCCCTCGAAATGTAAACTTTTCCGTCGAAGCACCTCTTATCTTGGTTATCTTATTTCATCTGAAGGTGTCTGTTGCGATCCCGGAAATGTTGCGGCTATCAAAGAATGGAAAACGCCTAATTCTGTCAGCGATATTCGCAGTTTTCTAGGCACAGCGAACTACTACCGGAAGTTTGTTCAAGATTATTCAACAATTGCTGGACCTCTTATTCGATTGACCAGGAAGAATATTCCATTTGTATGGAGTAATGAATGTCAAAAGGCTTTTGAGACGTTGAAACATTGTCTGACATCAGCTCCAATTCTTAGCTTTCCTAGAACAGTCGGCGAGTTTGAATCGGATACTGATGCCAGTGGTTTTGGAATTGGTGCGGTGTTATCTCAAGTACAGGACGAGCATGAACGTGTACTTTCTTATGCCAGTAAGACTATGTCCAAGTCTCAACGTAGATACTGTGCTACACACCGGGAACTATTAGCTGTGGTGTGGGCTGTTCGTCAATTCAGTTATTTTCTTCTCGGGAGACCGTTCAGAATTCGCAAAGATCATGCTGCTCTGAAATGGTTGATCAATTTTCGTGAACCACAAGGAATGTTGGCAAGATGGATATTAACACTTGGTGCTTATGACTTTAAGATTGAACACAGACCTGGCGTAAAACATGGCAATGCTGATGGATTGTCACGCCAAGTTCGCAAATGCAAACGAGAAGATTGTTCTGATTGTGGTACCAATGGTGATGTGGCTGTGAGCAATGTTATTGTAAGTGCAATATCAAAACAGCCCGGTCAATCATCGTCAGACGGTTCCGATTGTAATTGGCTAGATACCTACACAGATGAGCAAATTAAATCTTGGCAGAGTAAAGATCCAGATATTTCTGCTGTTTTGAAATGGAAACAACTTGCTGCTCGGAAACCTGATATTCAAGAATACATGCCTGAATCAACAGTGACCAAACGTTTAATGTCGCAGTGGGACTTGATTTTTGTAGATAATGGACTTCTCTATCGTCGTTGGATTCCTGATTGTAAATCGGAGGAATCGCATATCCAATTGATTGTTCCATCAAATTTGAGGCAGGATTTGTTCCATAAGCTCCATTTTTTGCGCACTGCAGGTCATCTTGGTGCTAATCGGACTTTCAAGAGTATAAGGCGCAGATTTTATTGGCCTGGTTTTAAAAGGGACATTCTCAAATGGTGCAAATTTTGCAAGTCTTGTGCTTCGACCAAGATGCTTTACGGAAGAAGGCAAGGAGATCTCAAACAACTTATATCTGAAGCTCCTATGGAAAGGATTGCCATTGATTTTCTTGGACCATTGCCTGTAACTGAAAATGGAAATGAACACATTTTGGTTTTGTCGGACTATTTCTCTAAATGGGTGGAATGTTTTGCTTTACCAAATCAGCGAGCTGACACCACTGCTGATGCATTGGTTACTCAATTCTTTTCGAGATTTGGGGTACCAAGAATTCTCCACTCAGATCAAGGAAGAGACTTTGAATCAAAATTATTTTCAGAAATGTGTCAATTGTACGGGATTCAAAAGACTCGAACAACTCCATATCATCCTCGTTCAGATGGACAAGTTGAACGTTTCAACAGGACCATACAGCAGATGTTGAAAGCATTTGTAAATGAGAATCGAAATGATTGGGACGACCATCTCCTATATCTTTGTATGGCATATCGCTCCACCGTACATGATAGTACAGGATATTCACCGAACAAGTTAATGCTTGGACGAGAAATCGAGATGCCTGT